TTTTCTGGGTTCCTGTTATATGGAATATTGTTTTCCTTCCTTTGATTTTCAGTCTGTGAATTTCTTTTTGAGTTAAATGGTTTTTTGGTATGTAGCATATTACCAGTCTGTGTCTTTGATTGATGACCTGAAACCATTAACATTGATGGCCATAACTGATATGTATTGACATCCATGGTATTTTCCTGTTGTTGGCTCCCCTCCCCCCAATTGTTTTCCTTAGCTAGTAAATTCCTTCTGTTGGGGTTCATGGAGCTGTAGTCCTCATTTTCTCTTTCTAGAATGTCCTTCAGAACATTTTGGAGTGCTGGTTTAGTGGTTATAAATTTCCTCAGATGTTCTGTCTTGAAAGTATCTTATTTCTCCATCAGTTTTGAAAGATAGTTTTATGGGATACATCAATCTGGGTTGAAAGTTGTTCTCCTTTAGAACTTGTAGTACTTCACTCCAAGCTCCCCTGGACTTGAGGGTTTGTGCTAAGAAGTCAGCTGTGATTCTCATGGGCTTTCATTTATAGGTGATTTGTTTCTTTTCCCTAACAGTTTTAAAGATTCTATTCTTGTGTTGAATTTCTGGAATCTTGACTATGATATGCCTGACTAGAGATTTTTTTTTGTCTTTTTTAAATTTTTATCAGTACCGGGGATCGAACTCACGACCACCTGCTTGCAAGGCAGGTACTTACGCCGCTGAGCTAAATCCCCAGCCCCTAGAGATTTTTTAAATCATGGCTAACTGGAATCTATATGCCTCACTTATTTGTATGTCAAATCTTTTTCTTTACCAGAAAATTTTTCTGCCATGACACCTGTGAACATTTTAAAATCTCATTTGTGGTATCTTCTGCTTTTTCTTTTCTTTTTTTTTTTTTTGTCTTTTTCCTTTTTATCGGTACCAGGGATCGAACTCACAACTGCCTGCTTGCAAGGCAGGTGCTTGTGCCACTGAGCTAAATCCCCAGCCTCCTGCTTTTTCATTGACTCCAATTAATCTTAAGTTATTCTTCTTTGTCTCATCTAGTAGCTGCTGGATCGATTTCTCATGGTCCCTTGCTATTTTTTGTTTTGTTTTGTTTTGTCTTTTTGAGACAAGGTCTTGCTATGCAGTTCAGGCTGGACTTGGGCTCACTTTGTAGCACAAGCTGGTCTCAAACTTGCAACAATCCTCTTGCCTCAGCCTCCCAAGTGCTGGGATTACAGAGGTGCACCACCATGGCTGGCTGGTCCCTAGCTGTTTTTGAGAAAAATTTCTTTTCCTGATTGATAACTGCAAGCTGCTCTCTAATTTCTGTGATCCTGTCTTCTCATTGCCCTAATTGCTTCCAAAACTTTCAATGGAGTTTTTATTCTCTTTTGTATCTGCATGAATCTGCTTTATGGATTCCATTTCTTTCATATACTGAGCTTTCATAATTTTCTTAAAGTTGCCTATTTTTTTTTTCTGTATCTGCTCTAACATCACTAAACATAGTCTTTATCTGAGAGATTATTTCTGATTTTCATTTTTCCAGAGCCACATTCAATTGCTTTGTTGTTACCTCTTGAGGGAGGCCAGGTGGGAGATTTTGGATTGTCCCACCTCACTGCCCCTGGATTTGCCTTTTTGTCTTATGTCTGGGGTTGCATTTTGATGGTGTCTTTTCATTTTTCTTTCTTTTTTTAGTTTAGTTCCCAGGGTGATGCTTGTAAATTGCCTATGAAAGCTTGTTTTATTGCTAGCATTTAGGATACTTAGGTGATCATTACTTCTCCTAGGTATCTTCCAGGTGTAGCTAGTTTTTGGTTTTTGGTAGCTAGTCTCTTGGAAGATCTTACCTCTTCAGTTTGTTGGAGATGAGAAGTTGTTGCTTATTTAGCACAGTCCTTGGTTCCCTGTCACAGTATTTTCTGTGATTTTAGTCAATCTCAGCCATGGAATACCAGGAACAATTGTTATTTAGAACAATTATGTAAATTTTGGCTATAGTGGTTCCAATAGCATCAAACACATCCTAGAGAATGACAAACTGGGCTAACCCTTCATTTGCCACTTTTAACCACATGGACTGAATTTGTGGTTAAATAACAAAATCTAAAACAAACCAGAAAATTATGTGCAGTATACAAGTCAGTTTTACCCTCCGGGATTAAACTTTAAAATGGACTAAGGATAAAATAGATATAAGAAGAAGAAGATATTAAAAGTAAGATCAGAAGATGAAGGAGGAATCACACCAACTTTGAGAAACTGGTGCAGAAGACTGAAGGAAAAGAAAGATGGAAGAGGTATAAAAAAGATCAGAACAGAACCACAACCACAAAGAGGCTAGGAACCATACTGACATTCATATAAAAACAAGATTAAGCAATGAAAGGGAAAGATAAAAAGAAAAGCAAAGAAAAAAATAGTCCATTTCTAGGGTTCTCTCTGGTTTCACTAGCAGACAACCTGTGCAGATAAGAGTCCTGATTCATGCGGCTCTCTCCCTGTGAGCCAGTAGTAGCTTTTTGGCAGGGTAGTGGATAATCTCAGCAGGCCTGTCCCGAGACCAGACTCATTGGGCTCACTGCTGTCCAAGCAATTTCTGTGGGTCTGAGCCCCGCTGAGAACTGCTAGATGGAGCCAGCAACCAATCTGGGTTCTGAGCTCAGCCAGCTGTCTCCAAGATGGTTCCCCGTTAATCAGTCTGTCCTGCAGGAGGACTAAGTCCTCCGCGCTCACTGCCAGCCAGCGCAGTCCCTCATGTCTGCTATTCCCCTCCACTCTTGTGTCTCTCAGAGGCCTCCAGGGTTGCCAGCCATCACCATCATCCTGGGCCCACAGATTTGAACTGTTCCTCTTGAGCAATGAGACCTGCCTCAGGGAAAAGGCACTGCCAGCTACTTCCTTCTTCACTGGAGTTTCTTCTCTCTCTAGGTTGGCTTCAATTCTCACTTCATATTCTTCCTGGGTACAGTGGACCCACTCCCCTCTTTCTTGTCTTCCTCACAATGCTATATTCCAGTGTCTGGGTGGTGATTCTCAGAGAGGTTGTTTTCTCTGCTGCTTACTACTCCACTATCTCGGTCTCTTTCCAGAATTTTTCTTTCTTTCTTTTCTTTTCTTTTTTTTTTTTTGTGGTACTGGGGATTAAACTCACAACCTCATGCTTGCCAGGCAGGCACTTACACCTCTGAGCTAAATCCCCAGCATCTTTCCAGGATTTTTAATTGAAACATTATTTGACCCTTTGATAGATACTTATTGGGGGAAATAATAAATTGAAAAGTATATTAAGATGATGTTTACTTGATAAGTTGCTTACATTTATGCTTATGTTTTTTTAAATTATAAAGAAATGAGGTTTATTTTGGCTCATGGTTCTCACCCAAGGTCTACCAGTTGTTTTTGATGATGTTCTTCTTGCTGGCAGAGTGTCAAGACATCACTTGGTGGGAGATGGGGAGAGCTTATTCTTATCTAAAATGAAAAAGTAAGACACAAAATTATATGATGCAACTTGATTTTTAAAAACTTTGGAAAATATAAAGGAAGGGTGTTTTCTATGTTATCGTTGTCTTTTAGTTGTTGGATTATAGGTGATTTTTTCTTGGTTTTTTAAAAGATTTTCTTGTATTTCCATACATTGTGAATAAAGTAAAGCCTTTATCCTTTTGTAAATGGATAAGAAGGAGATGAACTTGCCAGATAATGGCAGAATTTTTGAAATTTGGAGGAGAAGCAGTGAAATTGATAGCTGTTGGGAACAAGATGAATCCAGGTGCCACTGAAACCAGGATGGCCTGAGTGACAGTTCCTAACCTTTGCCAGGAGATAGATGATATTTTTGAAAACATAAATTGCAAATAAAAGCAAAGTGTGACAACTAAATTATGACTAAATATCTAAAAATATTTTCAGAAGTACTATAAATGGAAGATTTTACTTTTATTATGTTCTATGATAATTAAAATGAACATAGAAAAAACGGAAAAGAAAAGAAAAATATTTCCAATACATCTTTGAATTAATGAATGAAATATCAGAGGATTTTGTGAGCGGCTGCTTGTCTGAGCTGTCAAATGACAGGCACCTGCATATGAGGCAAGGATTTTTTATCCAGCAATTGCCTCACATAGGTAGCTCACCCAGATCAGAGAAGAAATAAAGCTATTCGGAATATCTGGGTTGTGATGTAATGTTTTAACTACTATTTGCATCTATTGTTGTTCTGCAGGGTTTTTGTTTGCTTTTTCTGGTGCTGGAGATTGAATTCATGGCTTCTATGCTAAGCACATACTCTGCTGCTGAGCTGTCCCTGCCACTCTTCTTACAGAAATTTAACAGCACGAAATCAACAGCAACAATTTCTAATAAAGGAACCTATCAGCAATGAATTCCAATAAGAAAACATTTCTTTACAGAGTTCAGGGTGTTTTTTGTAAATCCAGCTGATTTTCAACCTTGTTTTTCAGCGTGATGATTATTTTCTAGAGGGCAAGAAAAGGAAGTTTGAGAAGTTGTGTGCCCCTATTAGATCACAAAGCTGTCATAGTGAAAACTCTAATCAGCTTTGCTGCCTTCTCCAGTCTTGGGTTATATCTGTAGCTTCCACAAGGGGCAGGGATTTCTATCCTCACCATTTGTAAATGATGCCCCAGGGAAGCATTATGGAAAAGATCATGTTCCTTTGGGGTTGTTCACTGTGACTGTGGCTGAAGGATTCTTTCCAGTTACCCATCCAGATGGAATTTGTGGCAGCTTAGCAGCCTGGATGCTGAAGTGATAAAGTATAATATATTGAATTTCTATGTGTCTATATGATTTCAGCTTTGATCTTCATTTTTGATTATGCAATTAATCACATCTGCAACTGTTTGAACCTGGTACTCTGAGGGCAGATACTTTTCCATTATTTTAGTCTTAAGTACTTTATCCAATTTAAAAGGAATCCACAGTGTGAAATGTTAGCCTTGAAAAACCAACATTCGCTGTGCCAATGAAATAGTACACTGCATAACAGTTTTTATTTTATATTACAGGAGTTTGAGCAAGATGATGACTGCAGTCATTCCATATTGGTTAGTGAAAAAGGTGAAAGACAAGATTTGCCACCCAGGACAGAAGGTATCTGGCTTCTGTCCTTGTGTGCTTATGAAGTTAACATTGATTTGGAGAGATTTCTGCATTCTCATTTCTCAAGAGCTCAGGGCAACTTTGAAAACACAGAAAAGACCAGACATGGTGGTACAAGCCTAAAATCCCAGAACCTCAGGAGGCTGACCCAAGATAGTATGTTTGAGGCCAGGCTGGGTAATACAGAGAGACCCTGTAAGGGTTGGGATGTATTTCAGTGCCCTCTGGGTTCAGTTGCGGGTTCTTGCCATTAGGATCTGAGGCACTGGGAGGGTAAGGGGTAGGGTTAGGGGTGGAATGCGGTTGAGCTTTAGAAAAGAAAACCATCACAAAGGAAAATAAAGACCACTCATCCTATCCTTTAGTTCACATTTGAATAAAGTGAATTTGGGCAACCTGCCCCTACCCAGGTGGCAACTCTGTCCTGGTTCTTTTCCACAGGGCACCCTACTCAACTCGGCACGACATGCTGCCCCTTTCCCCTGAGCTTGATAATGTTCTTTCCCCGGTCTCTTTCCACTCAGAATCTGACATCAGCTCCAGGAAATGGTTGCCTTCTAGAACCAACATCTATCCATCTGTAGGGGTCCGAGTTCCTTCCCTCCAGGGGAAGGTGGGAAAGTGAACTTGCTCAAAAACGCTGAGTCTGTCTTTTATTCTATGTGGCCACAAATCAAGAATTTTCCAGGACAACATCTATTTCAAAGTGCCCTTAGAGACCACACAGTATTTGCTGGTCCTTGCTTCAGAAAATAGTCACCACAGCCATCACATTCCCCTATCATCTACTTGCCTATCATCTCCTTAAATTAAATGTTTATTTGAACTGCTCCGATTTCTCCTGGCAATTTTCTGGCTTCCATTTCTAACGCTCCAGGGAAGCTACCCTCGTAGATAGCTGTTTTTCTCATCGTTTTTTACTTCCCTGGAGGTTGATCTTTTCCTGACCAGGTGCCTTGTGACTCTGGTGCCTTGTGTCTGCTGGACAGCCTTCTGCTGCCCTCTGCTGGACAGCCTCCTGCTTCATATGAATAGCTGCAAACCACTCCCCAAAACCAGGGCTGAGAGTTAGTAACAGTTAAAAATGATGAGCAACATTAAGCCTGAAAGAGCTAATTAAATTTTTAAAAACCTTGATCCCTTCCAAATAGTCCTTATAATCTTCCTTTGAATTTATAGACTTCAAAGCCAACTTCTCAGAAGCCTAATATTGTCCCTGAGCACCTTCCAAGAGGTTAAATAGTTCATTTATTCTGTTCAGTTTGGAAATGACTTGAAATTGAGGCATTAGTCATCTTTTTTCAGATTCATTTGTGGTGTTTTAAGTTTTATTGTTTTGTTTTCAGTTTTAATGCGACGCTTATACAGCATTTCTCTGAGCGCTTGGAGTGTTGTCTTGATAAACTGGGTTACAAACTTCAAAGAAACAATAATCTCATCAAATTTCTCCCCTCAGTTGATAGATTTCAGTCGAGTTAGTTACTTTGTTCAATCGGTCTTAAGTAAAAGTGCTTTTGAGGATCTCTGTAGATTTTATGCATCTTAAAATCAATGTATTTCCTCTTATTAATTTACTATCCTTAAATCCCCTTTCCATGTTATTAATGTTCAAAGTGCTCACACACTTTGCAAAAAAAAGTTCTACATATACCACATGACTGTTTATTCTAAATACGCATATTTAACCATTTTGTTTATATCTATTTGACAATAATATTATTTTATTAAAAAGGGAATATTCCTAATTAAAATACCTATAACCCCCATAATGTTTGGATGACTATTTTTAACATTCTTTTTGGAGAATTTAAGTACTCTTGCAGGGTATATTTGCTTTGTTATTTGCTTTATTTGTGAGGGTAATATGTAAAATACAATTTATGGACCAAAAAATAAAAACATCTTTCATCTTTTCCCCTAATGCAAAGCTCTTCTTGCTTTCCTCAGTCATTTATTTTCTCAGAAGACAAGCAGATACAAACCTTGTAGGCTAGAAAATGACCCTGTAAACTTACTATTTTCATCAGTCAATAATAGTGATTTTAGGAATTAAAACTGGGCTTAAATTTTAAAATACAATGTAAATGCATTTTAGTCACAGGGAACCTCATCTTAGTTGTATTAAAAAGGAATGAATCTTAAAAGGTTCATAAACTATTGAGAGAAAATGCCTTAGTCCACTCATACTGACAACAGTAACACAGCCGGAGGGAGTTAAACAGCAGGTGTTTATTTTCTCATAGTTCATTAGTTTTACTCTGAAATGATCTTTTCTTGGGGGAAGGATCACTGGGTTCTCTTCTTATATAGTCACTCATCTTACTGGATCAGGACCTCATCATTATGACTTCGTATAACTGTAATTTGTTTTTTAATTTTAAAGAGATTAAGACAAAAGAGGACCGAACAAAGCAGATCAGAACAGAACAAGGTAAGCAACACAGCACTTCACCACAAGACAACCTGATATTAACAGTAGCTATAATTGAGCATACCTTCATATATAATACTATCAAACATAACAAAATAGTATAAAACCATTCAAGAGAATGAAAGTATTACAGGGCATTCAGAACCAAATAACCAAAAATGAACAATGGCTACTATATCATTTTCCATAAAAATTTTTGTTTATACTATTACACATAATAAAATCCAATAAGATACAACATGACAGAACCAGTGGAAATAGAAGAACAAAAGCATGGTAGGACTTCAAAGCCAGATGATATTAAATCAGCAATGGCTATCATAAGGTCTTGTTTTCTTCAAAATACCTGTTCTTACAATCACAGATAATAAAATCAAACAAACCAGAATAAAACCATTCCATATAATGAATGCAGATATTATAAGGCTTCAAAGCAATGTAATGGGGAATCATGATTACCATAAAGTCTTATGTACTCTTAGGAAGACTATATGTTATTTATACATGTGAGCTTGATTTATTTTGCTTAGGAGTATGATCTCAAGTTGTGTCATTTATTTAAAAATATCTCAATGTAATCATTCTTTATAGCTGAGTAGTACTCCACTGCATAAAAATACCACATATTTTTTTATCCATTCCTCAGTTGATGGACACAACTACAAACACATTCAACCACTTTTTCTTTAATAAAGGAGCCAAACACGTTCACTAAAAGAATGACAGTCTCTTTAATAAATGGTGCTGGAAAAACTGGCTCTCCATACCCCAAAAACTAAAACTAGACCCATGCCTATCACCATGTACTAAACTAAAATCTAAATGAATCAAAGATCTGAATATTAAGAGAGAAACATTAAATCTGTTGGAAGACAAATTAGGTAAAAATCTTGAAGACATAGGGGTAGGTAGAGAATTCATGAACAGGAATCAAACTGCTCAGGAAATACTTCCCAGAATCAATAATTGAGATCACATCTTATTAAAAAGCTTCTGCATGTCAAAAGAAATCTCCAGCGTAGTGAAATAAAACCTACAAACTGGAACAAATCTTGGTGAACTGTCCCTCAGACAAAGGACTTCTGTCTAAAGCATATAAAGAATTAAAAAAAAATCAGAACCCTGAAATTCAAAGACCCAATCCAAAAATGGACATCTGAGATGAATACACAGTTCTCAGATGAAGAAATACAAATGGCAAATAAATACATGAAAAAATGTTCATTCTCATTAGTCATTAGAGGAAATGCAAGTTAAAACCACACTGAGATTCCATCTCACTCCAGAAGGAATGGCCAGGATAAAGAAAACCACCACCAACAAATGCTGAAGAGGCTGTGGGGAAAAAAGAACTCTCCTGCACTGTTGGTGAGAGCGTAGACTGGTGCAGCCACTCTGGAGGTCACTCTGGAGATTCCTCAAAAAGCTGGGATTGGAGGTCCCATTAGACCCAGCTATTCCATTCCTGGACATATTCCCAGAAGAACTGAAAACATCATATTACAGTGATATATGTGCACCCATGTTTATAGCCAGCACAATTTGTAATAGCCAGATCTTGGTAACTTTAATTTGTCCAAGTATAATCACACTAGGAAAGAGTTTCAGTGTATGAATTTTGGGAGGACATAACATTTAGTTCATAACACGAAGACTCTAAGCTGAATTGTCACGAAGAATTCCTATAACCACATTTCAAAACTGGCCATTACTCATTCCCAACTCATGCTGTCTATGCCATGACCCATGATCCCACTGTGTACCTCAGAACTCTGTCCCTCTGTTGACACTCACCTCAATTCAAAGGGCACCTGTATCTTATCTTTTTGTCAAACAACTCACATGTATCAATCTCTCAAGTAAGCTTTCCAAACTCTAGTGATACAGGAGGCTAGAAACTACAGCTTTTTAAAAATTGAGATTCACAATTTAGGAAATTATCAAAATATTGAGAAGGGTATCAAACTATTCTCAACTCTGATGTCTACACTTCAGACAAATGTGCCCATCAATTTAAACAGAACAAAGAAAACCCAGAGGAAAGTCAGTCTTTTCCAGAGACAATGATTTTTCTTCATGAAATAAGTTAGGCTAGGCCATATTTTAAGTTTCCATTTTTAATAATAGCTTGAACACTAACAATAAATTAATGATCATGTTCTGATTTTTATGAATGTTTTTCACTCCCTCCATGAAGAAAATATATTTTTTGCTATGTCAAATGTTGCATTTTTATTTCTCTGAATGATCATTTTCTGATTGGTTAGTTTATACTTCCTTATGTGAAAAATGTGCTTTGGGCATGATAACACACTCAAGTATTTTATTTTTACATGTGACAAGCCATCATCTTTGCTGGTCTCTAGGGTAGATTCAGAGCGTATCCACAGTTCCTTGGCTGTTCACAGTGTTCAAGAGACAGGACAAAGAAAATGTTTGTATCTTTTTAAATGATCTCAGTCAGCACTTTCTGTAAAATTTTCCCCATGTAGGACCAACAATTGAGATAGTGGTCATTAGCTCTTAAGAATTTTTTAGAAGGCTGGTGTTCTTTATATTTACTTATTGTATGCTTATCCCTTCACTGAAAAAAAATCAGCCAGTTGGATGTTTGAATACATTAAATTTTCTTGAAAATATTCTGGGTTTATCTGTCCTGCATAATCAGGTGTATTCATTTTTAGTCTTCTACTTCTATAAATACACTCATTTTCTAACTTCCATAGCAAAGTACTAAATGCATCTAGCAGGTATCAGAATATACTTTTCACTGACAGTATAGTTATTAGGAATATGTGCTGTATGTTTTTTGCCCTCTAACATGTAACCTATGTTTTCACACTTAAAGATGACTCCAAAAATGTTGTGAAAGACATCTGTCTTCCTTGCAAGTTGGAGAGTGACCTTGTGCACGTCACACAGATTCATGGTTATCAGTTTTTTTGTCTTAAAAATAAAGGCCTTGGATCGGATGACCTCTAAGTTCTTCCCAGCTGTGTAATTCAAAGCTTCATATTTCGTATTACACGGCATGGTGTTAGCATCTTTTGAAAACTTAAAAGACTATTTGTCCATCCCAAGGAGACTTCATTCTTGGAGTCATTCTTTGCTAGTGTGTAATGTCAGAAAATATACAATCAAGTTGTCATGTTTGTGAAACATGAAGAAAACCAAAGCTAGATACATTTTCATAGTACCATAAAATATAATGCTGGATGACAAAGATAGTGAACATATTATCATTTGACTTATTATAAATAAAGCTTTTCCTTTTGGGAAATTTGACTGTTTCTTTTAAACTGCATGAATCTCATAAAATGGCACAGATATAAAAATACAACAATTTTACAAAAGCTTTTACTCTGGTAGTTCCCGTGTATTAAACAAAATCTCCAAAGTCCTTTAAAGACAACAAAAATCTACTAAACTTGATAATGATGGTAAGTCTAATATAGTCAGGTCTGATTCACCCCTTTCCTTATCCTTGTGATACTTCATCCCTAAAATTCAGTCAGTAGAACTTAAAAAACCATTGTTCTTTTGGGCGTGTGTTGACTGAGATAAGAGCCCTGTCAAATTCATGGATAAGGCAAGCACTGCAGCCTCCTATAAAGGTGCTTCTCTGCGTTCCCGCACTCTGTACGCCTATCACGGTGCTTACAATCTCGCTGCATTCTTTGCTTCTTATTGCCTGTACTAGGGCCGTGGCTCCTTCTTGTTTATTTCCATATCTTCATCCCAAGGTCTTGGGCTTGGTATAGATATACTTAACAAAAGTTTGTTAAATGGGGAAAAATAAGTGAACGAACCAACCTTAAACTATGTTACGTTGTACACCAGCATTGGTTCTCCAAGTTGGAACTTTCTGTTTAAGGATTATACTGGGAATCATTCTGTGGAACCAAACAGGAGATAACCAAACTTACAAATACAAGCAAGTTGCTTTGGGGCCACAAGAATTATCTCACTTAACTCTCACTACAAGAAGTCTTGGGAGGTAGGTATGACTGGTTATACTTCATAGAGAGAGGCCTTGTTTTATCGACCCAAGAACAGTATATTCATTGTAAAACTGTGTGTTATATCTGGAAATTTTTATTATAGTTTTTCTCTTTAAGTATTTACCTAAAACCAGTCATATGTTGTACAGAAAAAATACAAAGATGGTCAAATCTGGTTCATATGTGTTTTCTAGTCCTTAAGAACAAATTGGTCAAATAAAATACAAATACTTCTCCCACTTAAAACTTATTACTTTTGCTTACTTTTTAAATTTTATTGGTACATTTTAGGTTTACTTAATGCCCATTCATTATAAGGAATTTATTTTTGCTTACTTTCTAAACTTACCATTAATTACTTCTTTTTCTGTTCTGTTACTGTCATGTGTTTCTATAGGTGTTGAGATTATTATGACTTTTCCCAAACATGTCAGTCATCTCCAAGAAGTGAGCCAAGAAGATGTGAAAAAAAGCAAGTAAGGAATACCCTGGCAGTGTTCAATTAGAACACAAATATGAAGTCATGATACTTGTGTAGCAACCTTCATTTTAAGTAATTTGATCCAAAACAATACTCTAAAGTAAAAGTCATAGTAACTATTATATGGCAGAGTCCAAATAATATTTTAGGTTTTATGGGCTAGATGGTCTCATTTGCAATGATTCAGTTCTGCAATAGTCCCTTCAAGGCAGCCATAGACAGTATGTAAATAAATGAGTGTATATGCAACCCAATTAAAACTACAAAAATAGGATGAATGTCAGATTTGGCCCCAAAGGAAGAATTTACTGACCCTGCTCCAGAAAAGTACTATCCAAAATGTGGTTCTTTTGGCTCTGTGTTCTGTCCACGATGAGCTCAGTGCAGAACTTGACAATAGCCCTTCAAAAAAATTGTAGTCATTTGATAATTTAATTTTAAGTTCATTGGTCTTATAATGAAAAACTGGGGCTTATTGACTGCATTTTTAAAATTTTTATTTTTATAATTATTCACTTTTATTAAGATTTGAAAAAGTATCAGTCCACAACATATTTGATTTTTTTTTTTTTTTTGTACTGGGGATCAAACTCAGGACCTCGCACTTGCCAGGCAGGTGTTTATACTACTGAGCTAAAGCCCTGGCCTCACAACATACTTGAAACTTTAAAAACGATTCTAAAGATAACTTGAGAACTGAACTGGCCAATGATTTGGAGATACAAGGTACAGCTCCTGTACCCACACTGTCTCTGATTTCTTTTTCTTTTCTTTAACTAATGACTTTGCGCTTACCAGGCAAGCACTTAAGCCACTGAGCTTAAAGTCTCTGATTTCTTTACTTCAGGAAATGAGGGCTAAAAAATTTAAAGTGGACTGAAACCAAATCCATTCAAGTGATTGTACTGGGTACAGAGCACAGAGAAGGTGGGGAGCAGGTTGGAGAGTGGAGAGATCCTGTCCTCTCAGGATACATCCATTTGGCTTAGCAGCACTATTTGGAAATAGATCTCTAAACTTTCCAGCGAGATCAGGCTGGCCTGAGAATCAGAGATCCAGTAGACATGGTGATTGTGTTAGCTTTAGCTTTCAACAATTGTGACAAAATATCTGACGGAAACCAATTTGCAGGAAAGTTTTATTTTTGGCTCTTGGTTTCAGAGGTTTGAGTCCATGGTCATTTGGGTTATTTTGGTTCTGGTGTGTGTGTATGTGTATGTGTGTGTGTGTGTGTGTGTGTGTGTGTGTACATTATAGAGAAGCATATGCAACAGAGGATGCTGCTCACCAAATGGTGAGCAGGAAGCAAAAAGAGAGACAAAGAGACCAGCATCCAGCATCTACTTTAAGAGCATGCCTGACTTCTTTTCACTAGGTCCTCGTATCTCCTAAAGATTCTGCCACCTCTCAACAGTGCTACAGTCTGGACATAAATTTTATAACATGTGGGCCTTTGGGGACATTAAAGATCCAAACTATAGTGATGGATGAGTTTTAAATTAAACCATGTCTCCCATTTCAGTCATACAACTTCGGTGCATCAGGAATGGACACAAGCGCATTCTATTTCTCTGCCAAATGAAATTGAGATGATGGACTTCAGGACAAAGGTGCTGACCACGAGGCCTTTACTCCTTAAGAAAGAAGCAAGTTCCAAGGAGCTCTGTGATGTGGACTTTGGCTTTTTATTGCCCAAATCTTGCTTAGAACCAAGTACCTCCAAGTCGGTGACCAGGGAAGAGGTTCCTCAATTTCTGAAGGAGCAGCAAAGAAAATCTGAAGGTAAATTGAGCAATTTGATTCTACAGTGATTCCTTTATTCTTTTGGCAAACAAATATTTATTTGTTATGCCAAGAATTATTCTAAGTCCTAGAGATACAGTGGTAAACAAGACACAATAACCCCTACCTTGGTGAAATTCACACTTGTGTGTGGGACAGACAATAAAGTAGCATATGAATAAAATATATGGAGTACATCAGGTGGTGAAAAATGCAATGGAAAAAAAGAGAAATAGGCATCTAGAGTCTGGGAAGTTCCAGACGAAGGCATCAGTGAATCTGGGGTCTGGTGGGCTTGCTTCCTAGTGCTTTGATGGTACCGTCTTGCTGAATCCTTGCATATTTGAAGGAACAAATCAGCTTCCTTGGATGTGTTTCATAAGGGCACTAATCCAGTTTATGAGGGCTCCGCCTTCATGACCTAATTATTTCCCCAAGGCTCACTTTGATACTATTATCTTTTTTTTTTTTTTGTCTTTTTCGTTTTTATCGGTAGCAGGGATCGAACTCACGACTGCCTGCTTGCAAGGCAGGCGCTTATACCGCTGAGCTAAATCCCCAGTCCCCGATACTATTATCTTGAGAATTAGAATTTCAACATATGGATTTTAGGGAGACACAGACATTCAGACCATAGGAAGTCTGAGATTTTCAGTAGGGTGAATAAGGGAAGTATCATTAAGAAGGTAACTGAAGGGACTTCAGGGAATGGGCTATGTGTATATTTTGGGGAGGAATGTTCCAAGGAACAAGAAGATCAGTGTTGCTGGAGCAAAGAGTGTGTGGATGGGAGGAAGTATAAGCAAAGGGAATTTGGACTGTGATAGGGCAGGCACAAATCATATAGGGCCATGTAGCACATGAGAGAATTATAAGTGACCAACGAGGACTTTAGAGGATGATCTAAAGTGCAAATTTAAACATTTTTATAAGTACTTTAAAAATAAGTGCAGAATTAAAATATTATCTTACCATTTTATCTTTCTTGAATTATGTGCAGCCTTGGTTAAGAACCCCTGGCTTAGAAAATACACTAATGCTTTCTTCTTTCTCTTTCATGTATTTTAACCTGCATTTCAAATTTTTCATATCCTTTTCTTTCCAAGTTGTATTCTGGGTAATTTTATGTCTTTTAGTACACTCATCATCTTTAGCATTATCTAATCTGCTACTAAATTTATCCATTGAATTTTTTAACCAATATTTTATAATAACATTTTCCAAAAATACAGCAAAGTTGGAAAAATTTTTACAGTGAACATCTGTATATTTTTACCATGTATTCTCTAACTTTAATATTTTACTGTATTTATTTTATCATGTATCTGTTCACCTATTTAGCTACTGACCCATCTTAATTTTTGTTGCCTTTTCAAGGAAACTGTATATATCAATATGTGTTTCTCCAAAATTTCAGTGTGCTTATTATCATTTACTAGAATTTAATATGTTTGAAGATTTTTTTTCATTTGGAAAAAAGTGTACATTGAGCACATATTCACCAAGTATTTACAAATGCATATGCCTGTGAAATCCAAATCTTTATCAAGATATAGACCAACAGGAGCATCAAAGATTTCCTTTGTGCCCCTTTCTAGTCAATACTAATCTGCTCTCTCAGGGAAACTTCTGTTCTGAGTTTTCTCCACCATGGATTGTTACATATATATTCTTTTAATTAGTAAACAGTACTCCATTGTATGAATGTGCCAATTTGTTTACCCAGCCTTCTGATGATGGATATCTAGGCTGCTTCTGCTTTGTTGACTAAAGCTTCTCTGATCATTTTTTAATGAAAAAATAAAACAAATTTTCATGTTTAAAACTTGAAAACAAAATTTCAATTTAAAACAAATTTTAAAACAAAATTTCATGTTTAAAATTTTCATGTTTAATTGTTATAATTTGAGGAAGTTTATGAACTCCCTATTTCCTATTTTTTCCCTTCTGTTTTGCTCTTTGTATTTCTCATATAAGAGAAACCATGCACCATTTGAACTTGTGTTTCTAACTTATTTAACATTATGGTCTCAAGTTGCATTCATTTATCTATAGATGCCTCAAGATTATCTTTTTATAGCATCGTAGTATTCCACAATATATAAATATCACATTTTCTTTATCTACTTATCTGTTGATAGACATATATGCCATTTCCAAGATTTAGGTATTATGAATTGTACTGCTATAAACATGGTATGCCTGTATCACTGTAATATGATGATTTTAACTCTTTTGGGAAAATACCCAGAGGGGGATAGCTAGTAGTTTTCATTTTTTGAAGCATCTCCACATTGATTTCCACAGTGGTCGTACTAGTTTACATTTCCACTAACAGTGTGGTAGAGTTCTTTTTCTCCCCAAATCCTTGCCAGTATTCATTGTTACTTTTTTTTTTAATGATAGCCATTCTTTCTGGGGTAAGATGATATCTCACTGTAATTTTAATTTGGATTTCTCTGATGGTCAGCCATGATGGCTGTTAGTATTTTTGTGCAAGATGTCTATTCATTTTGATTGTCCATTTTTTGACTGGGTCTTTTATTTGAGAGGGTCTAATATTTTGAGTTCTTTACAAATTTTTGATGTTAGTTCTCTGTATGAGCAGTACCTGGTGAAATTTTCCCACATTCTGTAGATTGTCTTTTCACTCTGTTGGTGGTTCCTTTGCTGTGCAAAAGCTTTTTAATTTGATATGATACCATTTATTGACTCAGCATTATTTCTAATGCCTTACCTATCTATGCCTTTGCCTATGCCTTCAAGAGTTGTACCTATTTTATATTCCAGTAAATTGTTTCTGTTTTAACATTTAGAACTTTGACGCATTTTTGTTTCAGTTTAGTACATGGTGAGATATACATGCCTAGACTCAACCTTCTGCATGTGGATGTCCAGTTTTCCCAGTCTCTTATTAAAGAGGTTATCTTTTTTCCAGTGAGTGTTTCTGGCTCCTTTGTCAAAGATCAAACACCTGTGTGTGCCTAGGATTATTTCTACTTCTTCTATTCTGTTCCATTGGCCCACATGTCTGGATTTTTGAAGTTGATTTGTTTTGTTGTTGTTGTTCTAGTACCATGCTGTTTTAATCTCTACAGCTTTATATCAACTTCAGGCCTGGGATTGTGATGCTACCTGCTTTGTTTTTGTTACTCAGGTTTGCTTTTTGCTCTTATGAGTCTTTTCTGACTCCATATCAATTTTAGGATTGTTTTTTCTAGGTTTATGAGAAATGACTGGTAGTTTGATTGGGATTGTGTTAAGTCTGTATATCAGTTTTGTAAGTATAATCATTTTGATTATGTTGGTTATGTCTAACCAGGAATAGGGATATTTTTCCACTTGTTGATGTCTTCTGCAATTTCCTTTTTCAGTCTACTGTAATTGAAATTGTTGAGGCCTTTCATTTCCTTAATTCAGTTAACACTAAAGTAGTTTTTGAGGCTATTGTGAATGGTGTCACTTTCTTAATTTCTTTTTTTATTTTTTATTTTAAAGAGAACAAAAGAGAACAGAACAAAGCGAATCAGAACAGAACAATGTTGAACACACATCTTAGAAAAAAAAAAAAAGAACAGAATGATGCAAGCAACACAGCACTTCACAACCACACAACTGGACATCAACAGTAGCTACCATAATGTTTCTTTTCTTTGACATAGTTGAGCATACCTTCACACACCTTAATATACTATACGATATTGTTAACAACACTATAGCATAAAACCATTCAAAAGAATGAAAGCATTACAGGAGTTCAAAACCAAATAACAGGAAATGAACAATGGCTACTATAATATCTCATTTTCCTCAAAAAAAGTTGTCTATGTCATCACACATAATAAAATCAAATAAAACACAACAGGATAGAACCAATCAAAACAGAAGAACAAACGCATGGTAGGACTTCAAAACAAGATTATGGTAAATCAGCAGTGGCTACCATTATGTCTCATTTTCTTCAAAATAGCTATTCATACCATCACACATAATAAAATCAAACAAAACAGACTAAAACTAATCAAACCACTGAATGAAAACATTATAATAAGACTTCAAAGCAATACGATTACCATAATGATTATGATTACCATAATGTACCCCATTTTATTCAAAATAGTTGCCCCTACCATCTGGCAGCATAAAATCTAACAAAATAAGAACAAAGCCAAATCTAATAAAATTGTATAAACAATGCAAGAATTCAAGATAAGACAATAAGAAATTGACAATAGTTTCCATCTTTCCCTCCCAGGTGTTTCTTCTCTTTGCTCTTACATTAACTATTTTGCTTTTGGAGCCCATTAACTCCTTCTGTTTCTTATGCTAGGGTTCACGCATATGAATTTGAACTGTTTCAGCCATGAACATGATCTCTAGTTGCGTCTATTTATCTACAGGAGCCTTGATTATTCTACTTTATAGCTGGGTAGCTTTCCACTGCTTGAAAATACCATATCTCTCTTATCCATTCTGCGGTTGATGGGCCAGTTACTCTTGCTTTTTTTTCTTGGTCTCCTGCACATGGAACAGTTGTTTTCTCTCCTTTGATTTTTCAGTCTATGAATTTCCTTTTCAGTTAAATGTGTTTCTTGTGTACAGTGTTTCAATGGATCTTGTTTCTTGATCCACTCTCCCTGTGTTTCTTTTTATTGCCCACCTGAGGCCATCTACATTCATGGTTACAACTGGCATACATGTGTCTCTGCCCTGCTTTCCTCCTGTTGTTGACCCTCCACTTTCCCCCTCCATTCAATTGCCTGTCTTGTTTGGTGATCCTCCTCTCCTGCTGTTCCTGGAAAGATGGTCAGCTTTTTAGCTCTCTAGAATATCCTTTAGCACTCTCTGTATGGTTGATAGTCATGAATTTCTTCAGTTGTTTTTTATCATGGAAGTATCTTATTTTTCCATCAATTTTGAAAGACAATTTTGCAGGATAGATCAATCTGGGTTGGAAATTGTTTTCTTTTCTTTCTTCTTCTTTTTTTTTTTTTACTATATCTTTTATTTCAAAATCGAAAACAAAGTAACTTGCCAGGCAGAGAAAAAAATCTGAGCAGAAAATGAAAGCTTGCTCGTTACCAGCCCATTCCTCTACAAATGGGACTGGATGGAGAGGAATGGCCAACATTAAGGGAAACTTCACAATGAAGACTGGTGTCAACTGACGTGCCCCACAGAGAAATTTCATTATTTTTCCTTAGCACATAACATGTTCCACAATGCAGTAGAACCAAATACACATTTGTCTACAATAAGTTTTAAGGAACACCTGTGCAATAACTGCCCTTGCTTCCTGTGCTGTTGGGAAAGGTGAGCTCCTGCAGGCCACACCCACCCTACCATATCAGTGAGGAAGAGGCAGTGAGACTGGTTTGGTCATCTGCACTACAGTGGAAAGGAGACCACAGTTCTGGCCACAAGTGGATCTGGCACACTTTTAGGTGAGATTTTAAAAGTGTCACGGTGTGCACACAGGGCCAGCAAAGGCGTTTTTAGAGGGAGGTAATGAATGCCTTGGCGGCAGAATGGACAGTCCGACCATTTTAGAGGGGCCTTCCTGTTGAAGAACAGGAGTTAGGGTGCCTCAAGGAAGGTGCTGGTTTGGAAGATGAAGGAGACAATCTTCCCTGTGGCATTGATGGTGCCTTCACTGTCTGAGCTGGACTCAGAGTCGCTGCTTCCGGAGTAGGCGCCCAGACCTGGGAGGATGCCAATGCAGACAGCAGTGGAGGGGCAGTGAATGGACGGGCCACTCAGGGAGGTACTTCCAAGAGACACACAGGATGAGGCCTCTTGACTCTTGTCATCTGGGTCAGGGTCTGGTTTCAGTCTTTTCACACTATTGCCACTGTCTGAGCTCTTGTGCTTCACAGCTCCTGCCAACAGCTTCGCCTGGGAGAACTTGTTCTTGGTTTCTATTGGTTTCACAGGCAGTTTCTTCTCTACTTCCTTCTTGTTTTCTGCAGAGATTCCAACTTTATTGAGATTACTTCTGTATTCCTTTAGTTCCTTCAGTTCTTCTTCTCTTCGTTGCTTTTCTATTAGTTCCTGCCGAGAAACCTCATCAAGGAAGTTGGTCTCATCTTCATCTAAGCCTCTTACCATGTTTTTGAATTTGAATTGCTCCTCATACTCCTGCTGCTTCCTGTCTTTCTGTTCCTGTAGCCTTTCATAGAGAGACTGTGGGTCATAAACCTCCTCTGGACATTCTTTGGGATCTTCGGGTTTTCGAACTTTCTCCCATTCTTCTTGTCGCCTTTTGCGTCGTTCCTCTAATTCTGCCTCAGATACAAACCTCTTTTTGATGACAAGATTACCATCATCCCCTCCATCCATAATGAAAAGAATCAATCGCCACAACAAAGTCCCGCCCCGCTTCCGGCGATGTAATCCAATCAACAGTTCTCTTTCTCCTCCCTCGGAAATTGTTTTCTTTCAGAGTTTGAAACACTTCACTCCAAAGTGTTCTTGACTTGATGGTTTGTGATGATAAATGATAAGTCTGCTGTGATTCTGATTAATTTTCCTTTATAGGTGATCTGTGTCTTCTAACAGCTTTTAATATTCTGTTCTTGTGCTGATTTTGTGGGATCTTGATTATTATAGTCTGGGTGTAGATTTACTTTGATTATGGCTAGTTGGAGTCCTATATGCCTCTCTTATCTGCATGCCAGCTCCATTTCCCATGTTTGGGAAGTTTTCTTCTCTTGCTTTTGTGAGTATTCTTTTAATTCATTTGTGTTGTGTTCTTTTAATTCATTTGTGTTGACCCCTACTTCTTCACCTACACCTATCACTCTTAAGTTATGCTTCTTTGTATTATCTTGGAGCCACTGAGATTTTTAAGAGATCTTTCCTTTCATGATCACTAGCTGCAATCCTGTCTTCAGTGTTTGAAAGTCTATCTTCAGTCTCTTCCAAGCGCTTTTGCCAGCTTTCGATTGAATTTTTAATTTCTTGCATCTCTCTTTGAATCTATATCATGCATTGTAATTTCCTTCTACATTCATTCAAGGTTTCCATCATTTTCCTATGCTTCTCTTTATTGTCTCTGTCTTCTTTAGACCTGCTGAACAATTTTTTCAGTATGTTTATGATTTCTTCTTTTACCTGAGACATTATTTCTGATTTCACTGCTTTTACAATCTCATGACGTTGTTTCCTTATTTCAGTGGCTATCCTCTCAGAGATTTCAGGTGTATGGCTTCTGTTTTCTTGCATGACTGCATTTCCCAGACTTACTGTGTGTGGGCTACAGGTCTCAGTTTGCCTTTTGCTTCTTCATCTTGAACTTCTCCTAGGCTCATCCCATCAAGCTGGTTGTGGGGCTCCAGGCACTTCCCTTGTTGACTGCCCCTAGGAGGTATAGGGGGATAAGACATGCACCTCTATTCCTCTAATTCCAGATTTATAGGGAGATAGCAGGACATGGAGCAGGCTTCTGTAGACCCATGCAGCTACACTGTGGCTTTGCTGATGATCAGGGGTGCATGGAGGTGGGGCTGCTTCTCTCAGCCTGTGTGTCTACACTGGGACTCCCAAGGTGCTGGCAGACACATAGGAGTGTGTTTGTCTGATTCTGCTAGTGGGTGATGGCTGCCTGAGGGAACTAAGGGCCTCCAATGGTGGTCTACAGATGTACAAGGTTTACCTGACTATGTGTCCCTGCTCTTGCTGGCTGCCTGCATGAAGGAGCCTTTGGTAGCAGCTCCCTCAGGGTGAAGGCAGATATACTGGCTCTCTCCACCCATGCTGGCCACCTGCAGGATGTGGCCTTTTGGTGGCAGCACACAGCAGGCAGAGGTGGATCTGTCTGTCTCTCTCAAACTGCACTGGGCACACGAAAGAAGGGGCCTTCTGGTGGTGGCACTTGGAAGGCAGAGGCCAATCTCCTGGTTCTCTCAGCTTGCACTGGGTGTACAAAGGAAAGGGCCTTCTGGTGGCAGTGCCTGGCAGGAAGAGGCAGCTCTCCTGGTTCTCTCGGCCTGCGCTGGGCATGCAGAGGACTCCTAATTTCTTTTTCAGTGAGTTTGTTATTCATGTATAGGAATTCTCTGATCATTCTTGTACAAGTCTTTTTATAAAGACATTTATCTTTGATGAATTCTTAGAATAACATTTCTGTGTTACAGGGGAATTGTATATTTAGTTCTTAAGAAGTGGCCAGAAAAGTTTCCAACTTCTCTGTACCATTCTACACCCCTATGAATACAGAAGGATTTGAATTTGCTTCTGCTAGGGCTACCAAGGTCTTTAGTGATTTGAATCTCCTTTAGCCTGGTTCCTGAATTTTCAAATTAATGTGTGAGTCTAAGAACCAATTTCCAATTGTATTGAGCCCGAGACTTACTTAACAGCTAGACTGATGCCAGCCTTTCCTCACAATGGGATAATGCCTAGTGTTTGCTTGTCACTGTTCTGAACCCTTCAGCCTAAACCACAAGGACTACCTTACAACCCAATGTGTTGCATTTATTGCTCATTGCAATGAGGGATATTGAACTCCAGACTTTCAGGCGTCTTTGTAAACAAAGGAAAAAATAGAATAATTATATGACTCCTGGAAAATGATATAATTTAAGTGAATTTTAAATAAATGGTGCTTTAAATAAAATTTTTTTATGGTAAGGCATACATAAAATTTGCCATTGTAACCATTTTCAACTGTACAATTTAAGTAGAATTAAATACATTAGCATTGTTGTATAACCACTGCCCATCCTCAGGACATGTTTATCTTGCAAAACTAAGATTCTGTGCCTGTTAAAAAACAGCTCCTTAGGGCTAAGGGCTTAGCTCATCAGGCACAAGTGCCTGCCTGCAAGCGCAAGGTCATGAGTTCAATCCCTGGTACCAAAAAACAACAACAAAAATTCCCTCTTCCTTTCTTTCTTAAAACTCTTGGTAACCACTGTTCTGGTTTTTTTTTTTTTTTCTCAATATGAATTTTCCCATTCTAAGTCTTTCATATTAGTAGAAATTACAGTACTTGTCCTTTCACGTTTAGCTTATTTCACTTAGCAAATATTGACGTGGTGATTTGATAAAATGCTTGTAAAGGGATTAACATTGTCTTGACTATAAAGTTGACTCGGAGTTCTATTCCTTGAAATCTACCAAGTTGGCTCCTAACTCTCAGAAGCCTCACATTTTGCCACTCTTTCAAGTGTATCACAAACATTAGTGCCACTAAATGCCTTCCATTCTTGAACAGATACTATTTTTCTGCCGGAAGATTTTGCAGTCCTTTGGGTCTCACCTTAGATACTACTTCTTGGAAGAAATCTCCCTGGACTTTCCCATGAATGGACAAGTTGCCATTCCTCTGAACTGCAATAGGATCCTAGTCTGTAACATAACACCTGTTTATGTTACTGTTTACATGCCTGTATTTGCCAGATTATAAGGGTAAGAATCATTGCACCTACAGAACTATTTTTAAAATACATATTGAATTAATAACAGCAATAGTAACTATTTCTTGAGGGTCTATTATTGCAAGGCACAAATATCCACTGATAACATTCCAAATTTTAGAAATGAGGAAACTGCCAGGCATAGTGGCACAAGCCTACAATACCAGCACTCAAGAGCCTGAGGCAAGGCCAGCCTGGATTACATAGTGATTTCAGACTTCGGCTGTTTGTCTCTGAAGCCAGTTGTGCTTAACCACTAAACTAGCTATGTTTACAGTTCCAACCTTCCATCTGAGTTCTACTTTAATTCTGAGATAAAAAAAAGAATAAGCGTGTTTAGTCTCAATGAAGATGCAGTCAGAAAAAGGAAGGACAGCGGGTAAAGGCACAACCTAGAGAGACACTTGGATGGAGATGATGAATTGAAGACCCTGGCAACTCTCTCCTAGCCATACACAGGGAACCCTGAAGATGTTACAAGTACCACACCAGGCAAGAAGAACCTTGATGAGGTCAGTAATTTGTTCTGGGTCTATTTCATAGCTGCAACAGTCTTGTCTGAAAGTGTCAGCTTGGGTTTTCCAAACAAGGATTTGTTTGCCTTTTTGGTCTAAATATAATTTTAAAAATTATAGACATATATAGACAGTTTATATGTTAAGAAAAGTTCAGAAAATATAGATGAGCAAAAATAAGAATTAAGTACAGAAATAATACTCTTCTAGAGTATGCTTCCATATTTCTGCATTCCATGTTTGTAATGATTTTCCACGATTGTTCAGCTTATATATTATCTATTAGATCAATTTAAATTTAACTTTTATATTATTCTACCACAAATAAGTAATCCCTCACCTTTTTTTTTTTTTATCTCATTATCTAGTTCAGGCTGGCCTTAAACTTATTATGTAGTCCAGGCTGGTCTCCAACTTGCAACAATCCTGCCTAAGCCTCCTGAGTGCTGATATTACAGGTGTGTACCATCATGCCCAGCTCCCAATCTTTGTACTTAAAGTAATCCAGTATCTTCTTTATTATGTTCAGGTAAAATACTTGTAGCCGAATCTTAAAGTCTTTTTTGAGACACTCTATTTATTCTGGTTTTACTAACTATTTCATTTCATCTTTTGTTCACTTTGTATAAATCTATCATCAATTCATCCCCATCCTGTGCAATGGACCACATCTCAATGCAGGGATTACACAGCAAGTGATCTGTTGCTTCCATTTATTTTAAGGACATTGCCTCTGGAACGAACTTTCCTCCTGTTAACACCCTGCAATGTCTGCTCTTTGGACCTATTGATCATCTGTTCCTTTGCCAACATCCAGGAATTCTCTTGCCTTCCTGGTATGTTGAATTCTGGGATACTGGACATGTGGCTTTCTCTTTCTTGTCTTTCTTCCGCATTTAGTGGGGCATATTTTCCAGTGAGAAAAAAAAAATGCATGGAGCATACTCATGACAATCTTTTGTTGTCTCTAATTCCTTTGAACTGTTTTCTTTCTCTGTATTTTCATGATAGAGGATTTTCTTATGTATCAACTGATCTTTGATAACTTACTTGTATGTAGGAGAATGGTACTAAAAAGGTCTCTGTGTGAGTGAGTTTGTTGAATGGGCTCAAAGGAGTTGAATGCACTAACACCTAAAAGATTGGTTGAAGGATTCCGCAAGTTTTAGTGTGTATAGATAGGTCTTTTCCCTAGGCCAGTTTTCCCTAGAGAGGGGATAATCTAAGTTATTGCTTGTAGTTTATAAGGCTGGAAGCCAATATCCTTGGCACGGAACACTGACTTTGTATTTCAGCACATAGATCTTTACTATATCCTTTTATTTTTATTATAGCACCATATTTCTGCTCCCAGTTATACCTAGAGCCTTAACATCTATTTTTTTTCAAGCTCTCTGGAATAAACTGATAGCTACCTCCCAGGAAAGATGAGCAATACTTGACTAAT